AACATAATCAATGAAAAATTTATACTGTTTAATGGAAAATAGGTCTTGTCAAATGAAGCTGAATTTGGACAGTGATGTAATTACAATTTTGTAGATAAAGGTGACTGTGTTCCCATAATATGCTCACAACTCTGTAAGGCATCTCATTCAATATATTACATGCTTAAAAATATTAGGATTATACAAAATCAATAACACAAACTGGTTATGTTTTGGAAGTACTAACGCATGGTGTAATAACTGTCTATACTATGCCACGTGCAGTGCGCATGGTTAACTATACTGGGGGAGTGCGCCCCATCAATGACATAGCTGCTGATCACGTGTAGACCCATGTGATTGCCATGTTGCCATAGTGCGCCATATGGTGCTGTAGTGCATTGCTACATCGCCATAGGGTGATGTGTAGACACACCTCGTGTGTTTTATAGCAAGATCATGTATCTAGAATGAAAAGGCCAAATTTCCGAGATAGGAGAATATATCCAGGAAAGCAATGATTGTAGAAAGGACTGGGGATCCTGCTGGAAATGTGCCAAGCATGAGCTCCCAGTGTGAAGCCATTGTTCTGATTGCTAATGCAATTCGTGGATGTATGAAAGGGGAAACATCATATAGGAGTAAGGGGAAGCTAATATGTGCCGTATAAGCAGTAGGGCTGTGTGAAGCTTCCGTCACTGATTCGATCTGGCAGAAATTCGGCCCAATTCGGTGGCCAAATCTCCTAAACTGAATCGAATCAGGAGACCCTTTAATTTTTCTGAATCAAATCAGAACCCTCCGAATCGATTTGGAGAGATTCGGAAAGATTCGGAGATTCGGACATAGACACAGCTTTAAATGTTTTTTCTACGTACCTCAAGGTAGCAGGTGGCTCATCACCATTAAAAGGGAATATACTGTGAAACTATGGCATATGGGATACTGCAGTGTGAATCTTACCTGGGTCTGATGCCATAACATTATGCACACAAAAAAAACAAACAACTCCCACCCCCAGAAAATATACAAAGAAGGTTGGAAAGTTATCCAGTCACATATTATGTGATATGCCAGAATTAAGGCTGTCCACACTGTATGAATTTGCCTCCTTGTATGCATGTTCATTATGATATAGCCTTTAATTTCTGGTCTATGCTCTTTTCCCCAGATGACTTCAGCTTCATATAGTGCACAAGAGGGTGTTCTGGGGTTGTTGCTGGGGAGGCAGGGGGCTGAGGTTGGGACTGATGGGCACTGGCAGGGCCAGGGGGCTGCAAGTAAGGAGTGAGGGGCACCAGCAATTTGCACTGTGCAAACTGCACAATGATGAATATCACTTGGGAGTGATGGAGGGCCACATGCTGATATTACTGTTAATGTTTTCCTGTGTTGTTGATTTCTGTCTTGAAAATTAAGACTGTTGAGCTGCTTTAACTTGTAGTTTGCAATAAGTAATTTGGGACTAAAATACTTGTGTGTTTTTTACTTAAACTATTTACTGGGTCAGGACTGGCCATCGATGTTTACAAGTGGGTCCTGGTGCCAAAAAGTTTGAGAACCACTGGTCTAATGCACAGCTTAGCTGCCCGGGCCAGGTGCTGGTCTTGGTTGAGGAGATCTTGCACACAAAGACAAATGCCTCCAATTGAAATCAGAGAGAGCTGCATAAAATACACTGTGTCCTCAAATCAAGCAGCATGCTATTTATCTCCTCCCACACACACCCTTTCCATGTTCCACAATGGCACATACAATAACTCTTTTCTGCTGATTACACTCAAAATCTGGCACTCCAACACTTCTTTCAGATGCACGAGGGCTTACATAGAGTCAGCAATATTCATGACATTCCCTCCATTCAAGCATTACTCAATTTTCTTTTAGTCTTGGCAGGATCTTAGGTACTCTATATACTGCCTCAAATGTGCTTTCCCTTGATCTGCTGTTATGCATGACGTCCCCTTTGGGATAAACCTCTTTAACATTAGAATATGTGAACAGCATAATTGATCTTGGTTTAGCACCTGAGTTTGCTCCTCTATTTTTAAAGATGCTGTCAGATCAAATGCGGCTCAGATTGTGCAGCCTCATTTAATTAATAAGCTATTTCCGTGTTTAATATTTTCTGTGACTTGGTTCGATTTATGCTCAAATTTGGGTCAAAATGTTAAGTTTAATAAAATCCAGTGTTACAAGTTCTGTGACCTATAAAAGTCTTTCCCAGCATAATATTTGTGATGACAATGTTAAAAGGTTTTCTTTGGGCTGTCTACACATCACCGTACAGTGACATTAGTACTGCTCTGTGTTATAGTATTTGCTTGGGGGAAGTACTAAAACACGGTGCAATAGCCGCTTGTACTGCAGCACATGGGTGGCGCACAGTTAGATTCACCGGCTATGTTGCCTTAGTGGAGTGCTAAAGCCAGGCAGCATGCCGCTATAGAGACGTAGCCCGTGATCACCTATAGACCCATGTGATGGCTATGTCACCGCAGCGCACTGTACGGCGATGTAGTGCATTGCTGTGTCCCCATAGGGCGATGCGCAGATGCACCCTTCAGTGCACAATTCTTCCTCTGTAGTCTTTGCTGCTCAGGCATTGTGGTGCCGTGTAGCATTGCATCACCATGTAAAAATCTGAACATGAACTTGACTAGAAAGGGACTTGTCTGCTTCTCATTGTTCAAGCTAAAAGAAACACACCTACTGCTGTCAGATTGCTATAGCACTTAAAAAAAACCCCCCTAAACAATGGATTTCTGATGTAAGATGTGACCTAATTTCTCTGTATTCACCTACAGGTAAATAACATGCAACTCATTTCTGCTATTTCTTCAACCCATTTCCCAGTCTTGTTAACTTCATTAGCCTTGCTGAGATCCACAAACAGACTATATCCTTTTGGCTAAAACCTGCCTCCTGACATGAGAGCAGGGTTTTGACCATACGTGCCAAAAGCCATATTTACCAACAAGGAACACTGAGGCTTTATACTGAAAAACTCCAGTAAGCATAGAAGTCGCATCAAAGAAGTTTATGTCCCTATTTTTAATAGCGCTGCAAGATCTACATTTGTATAATAGCACAGACGCACAAAAATGAGCATGGCAAGCAAAAGAACGAGGGACGGAGTAAATCATAAAACTATTTTACTACTAATTTCAGTGAGGTGCCTGGCTGTGGCATGGTGATAAATCACAGCAAACCACTAAGACTGCCCCAATCTCAGCAAAAAAAAAAAAAAAAAAAAATTTGCCTTGCAATCGCTTTCTACAGCCTTGGATTCAAAGAATGATGAAGAGTAAATTGAACTGCATTTACTCATTTGAGGGAATGGACTGTTTCTCTTGTTTCTTTCTAAGTCACCACGTGGATTAAAACACCGGTGCCTGTGAACCCTGCAAGTTTTAGGTGTCTTCCAAAAATACTAGGTGTTAGGATCAATTAGATGGGGCAAATAGATATCTGTTTAATAGGACCGCGGGTATTATCTACTGGTGAATTCGTTGGAACCAACTCTTTTCACTTTGCTCGGGCATGCTGAGATCTCTGAGGGTTGCAAGAAAAGATGCCAAGCAACACCATGTAAAAACAAAATAAAAGTGCACCCTTATGCATGCTATATAGTTGGTCAACCCGTGGGTCACGACCCAAAAGTAGGTCTTGGGAATATATGAAAGGGTCACGAATAATCATATGGCATAACTAAGTTTCCTTGAAAAATGGCAGGTCACTGAGCCCAAAATGCTTCATTCAAAATACCACAGGCAATAAACCTCTGTCTAGAGTCCTGGTCAACTTGGCCCAGGGCTGGCAATGCTGGAAGCGGTGGTGTGCCTGGCCCTTGAGCAGACGCACCTGGCTGGGACTCGGAGTTGGTCAGTGAAGCCGACACTCTTGCTGCTCTTACCAGTGAAACTGGAAAAAGCATCAAATTCACCCAAGAGCTGCAGGGTGCAGGTGGCTTCTAGTTTCCTAGAAATGTCAGTTTTAATCTGATTTGGACTGAACTAAAATTGCAAGGGGGTGGGAGAAAAGACATTTACAGTGCACCAGAAACCCTTCTTTTTGGCCATGTCTCCCTGACATGCTTTTGGACGGTTCCCATCCCACATACTCCCTTTTCATCAATTTTAGTTGATGAATGACAGGAAGTCTTTTGAGTGGCATCTTGGCTAGCACTTGATGTTTAACATTTCTGAGGCAGGGTTGTGTAGCTACAGCATACACCTATGGCTTTACCACTGTACAGGGTGCAGTGCTTGCTATGGATGTATGTCATGAGCTACGAAGAATGCACAGGATCCCGTTCCCAAAGAGCAAGAGTTTCTCCAAATCATGTCAACCCATTTCCAACCCATAAAAGGACCCTGGAAAGTAACAGCTGATAAGTGCTTTATAGCCGCAACCCACAGATGAGGTTGGAGATTAAATACGTACGATCAACTCAGTTTAACACTAGTACATTAATTACGCAACTTGCCGAGTCTAAACCTGGGACAGCAGACTTCAATACCCTGCATATGAGAAGCATGATCTTTCTTTGTCTTATACTGAGAGATCCAGATTTCAACCCCTCATCGTATGAGACTGTCTGAACCTTGAGATTTGGTTAAGGACCTGCTACTTCTTGTACTTTAATTGAATCTATTAAAAGCCAAAGGGAAAGTCAGGTTTCATTGGAAAGTTTGCAATCTCTCTGTTCCACTGGGGAATGCCTTGTTTTAAAACCTCAGCTGAAAATGAAGGGCATCTGCATTTCAGTCTTCAGCGACAGTCTTTATCCTGGCACTGCTGGAGCAAACCTGAGCAACCAACCATAATTCAAGAATCAGGCATCAAATCATATGTATACCACTGGAGATATCACTCTCAGGTTAAAAATAAGCCAGCTGCAGCAGCAGGATCACTCTAGGAGGATACATAAATCTGCAAAACGCTGTCTTTTCTCATTCTGCCATGCATAAAACATTGCACCAGAGGAAAATTCCCTGGTAACAGCCGGGGAAGCCTACCTGTAACGAGAAAGCTGCATCGCCCTGCTCCAGCTTCATTTATGATGTTGCAATTGTAAATCCCATAGCTGTCCCTGGACAGACTGCTTACGGTGTATTCAGTAGAGTCTTGAGCATCAAACTGACCAGTCCGCAGCAACTTATTGCCCAGTCGCCACTCGAATGTCAGCACCCGAGTTGGGTACGCTCTCAGCACCCGGCAACTCATGGTGATGCTTCGACCCTGGCCTTGCCTAATCTCCAAGAAGGCTGGTTCCACCGCAGGAGGATCTGCAGAAGACAGAAAAGGCAAAAATGAGGTATCCAGCTAAATGGAATAAGCTTGGCGATCAGGCATAGTGCATCTCTAAAAGGTCTGAGCACAGTTAAAGTACCAGTGTCCATGAGCATAAAGGTGGATAACTACGGTAACGGCGAACCTTCATTAACACAACAAGAACACATCTCGAGTGCTGCATTGTGATGATATATAGCAGGGGCAGGCAATTATTTTGGGTGCAGGGCTGCTTATTGAGTTTTGAGAAGCTATTGAGGGCCACATGACAGGCAGCCAAGGACAGATAATTATTAATTTTCTAAATTTTTGAGAGGCCCCGTAGGCCGGGTACAATAGCCTGGAGGGCCACATCCGGCTCACAGGCCACATTTTGCCCACCCCTGTTTTATAGTGTGTCAATTGGATATGCAAAGTTTAATTTTGTTGGCACCTGGCAGTGCGTGGGTTGTTTTGAGGGCCCACGGTATGAGAGAAGAATTACAAAACTATCCACAGGATGCAATGGGGAATCAGTGTCTTATAGAGTAAGAGAGAGCAACAACAGGTAGGAGACCCTGGAAAAGAGAGGAGAAAGAGAAAAAAGGTGCATTTGGATGGAGTTGGACTGCATGAAGTGACTGTTACCCTGCCTGAAACTGGTCTATAGACACGATTCTCCAGGTGGGGTACAGTTGTTGTGGGGGAAGTGAGACAATAGGGGTAAGGTTTCTGCTTGGGGGCTGCCTCCAGAGAACTGAATGGGCAACCTGTGAAACTATGAAACCTTACCCACATCTTGCCCATCCCTGTTTGGGTAGTTTAGTACTCCAGTCAATGGGCACCTGGGACCTTTCCATATCCTGATCAGAGATGTGATTTTAAACTGTTGAGATTTGCAAAATTAGTATTTTGCCAGGCTTTAGATCCTAATGGAATAAAACTAAACCAAACCAAGCTCATGATGTGTAAAAGCTGAGGCACTTCAGTTTTCCATCTGCCTTTTCACAGAAACATAGAAAATTCAGGTTGGAAGGGACTTCAGGAGGTCACATCTAGTCCAACCCCCTGCTCAAAACAGGACCAGCCCCAACTAGATGAACTCAGCCACGGCTTTGTTGAGCCAGGTCTTAAAACCCCCCAAGGATGGAGGGTCCATGACCTCTTCCTGCCAGTGATAAAGTTTTGTCCCAATATCCAACCTAAAATTCCCTTGCTGCAACTTGAGCCTGTTGCTCCTTGTCATGTCATCTGTCACCACCTTTTACCATGTTACTAACTGAAAAGCAGAAACTGAAGTCTAGAGCTTGGTAAGCAGGGCTAGGACACACCGTTCAGAGAAACAGGAGTGAGAAGGGAAGGCATCCCCTTAGACTTGAACTAGGGCTGCCAGTTAACTGCAGTTAATGTACGCGGTTAATGCAAAAACAGATTGATGCGTTCATTTTTTTAATGAGCATTAAATGGCACAAATCGTGCTGCTGGTGGCCCCAGCCCTGTGCCTGGCAGCGGTGAAGGAGAGGGGCCGCTTTTCCCCCGTGCTAAGCAAGCTTCTGCCCACTTTCTGCCATTGCTGCTCAGCATGGGCAGGTGCTCAGTTTGGAGCAGGCGTGGGGTGAGCCGGGGTTGGAGATGTTTGCACAGGATCCGGCTGGTCGGCGCAAGGCCAGAGCGGGCATGCGGCAGGCTGAGGTCAGGGCTGGAGATGTGCACTGTTGGCGGTGGCCAGGGAGAGGCTGCAGGGTGCAGGGTGCACAGGCTTTGGGCTGTTGGGTGGAGGGGTGCTGACTACTGGTTAATGGTGCAATCAAAACTGATTCATTGCAATTTTTTTTTTTTTAATCTCGCAATGAATTGCGATTAATTTTTTTAATCTTTTGTCAGCCCTAACTCAAACATACACTCCCTTTAGAACTAGAAAGTTTCTTCTTCCAGAAACCAATGAGAAGTCTACACATCCCTATGAAAAGGGCTGCCTAAAAGGTCTCATGTTGGGAGTCATCCCTCGGGCACAATGATTACTTATCGGAGGAAACGGAGCTTACTCATTCTGCACTTGCCACGTCTCCCCATGGAGAAATTGCCCTTACGAGAAGCCTTCCTTCAGTGTGATGGGTATTAATGGGGGCGAACTTTGATTACAGAAAACACTTGTGAAAAGTGAAGGCCTTCATCCTTCTATTTGAAACAGAATAGTGGGGAAGTTTTGAATGAGTGGAAAAGCTATGGCACGCAGGAAGCGGCTTGCATTCCTTGAGCAAATTGCATCCTCTGTAAAAGCAGGTGCACTTAAAATGATGGAATAAAATGCAAGTCCTCTAAAAGCAAACAAGCGGACGAACAGATGAATGGGTTGTAAAACACTTTCGGAGAAGGAATGACTCGTAAACACAAGACTCTGAATGCTTCTAAAGACTCTAGGACTGCTTGAAACTCCTCCAGGTACAATTTATTTGTGCAGATCATTTGATCTTAATAAGCAAAGATGATGTCATGATAATTATAGTGGCTTTCTGGAGAGTGGAAACCAGAATTTCTATCCTCATATTTTAGCTTTGGCTTTTGCCCCAACGATGAGGACATGAGGGAGCTGAACAATGGGAACAAGTCAGACACAGGCGGTTCTAGGCTGAACTGAATTAAAACTAGACACTTAGATCCAAACCATACAGTGTCAGCTCTGGCTGAATCGACTTGAAACAAAGCAGCAAATGCACAAATAAAAAAATAGTTTGATATTCCTACAGACAACTTTATTTCTGCAGAAACTGCCTTTTCCAATGGAAAAAAAAAAAATCATTTGGACAGAAAATCCCCAGCCAGCTCTGCCAAAAAAGAGCCTTTACTGAGTCTGTATTATTCCTGTTAAAAATGTAACTCTCTCTCAACACTGCCTGTCCAAAAACATCTTGCTCTTAGATTCCTCACTGATTACAAGTTATTTAGAGATCAGAAATACTGCTGTCTTCAGGCTGTTGGCACGCTGTGCTGTAAACTGCAAATGCATTCCCTTCCCTCCTCTATAATAGGAACTGGACCTGACCCCAGTATGGCTGCCAATCATCTCCTGGTTAATGAGGACACTTAGCCAAACATTGTAAATTTTAATGAAACTAAACCTGGGAGACAAGCATTTTTAGGCAGTCGTTTCTGTTGGTGATGCTTAGCTATAGTTTTTGTTCTGTCATGAGGAGCAGCAAAGATAACGTTCTTCCATGCCTTTAAATGTCTCAAATGTCATAAGGAAGGGCGGGGAAAGGACCACTTGCCATGAAGGAAAACACATGGGCAGAGATGGCCATTACATGCAGAGAGATGCTGTTCACAGATGTTAACTGAGAGATTGAACATCACGGTCCCAAGGTTTTCTGCTCCTGCTGCCTATGTGACCTGTCCACCACTGTCTCTTGTGGTTCTTCATTCCCTACGGCCTTTAAGACATCTGGAGGAGTTGGGGATGGAGTTAGTCTTTCATTGACAAACCAAAGGTTACCTGACTCACCTGGTTCATCTGACTTCCCTGGAGCTAAGCAGATTGAAACAAGCTAAGGATGTGGCCTATTAAAACAAGCAGAAAGAGCTCTAAATCTGATTTAGTTTCCAGCTTGTACCTGCTATACTTTTTTCCTAATATAATGCACTAATAAGGACTAAAGGAGTAAGCAATAGATTGAAGAAGTAACTACAGATACAGAGCAGAAGGTATAGCTATAACCTTTGCCTCGCAAGGTCATGCTTGGTACAAGAGTTTACCACCGTCTCTGATGCTACACTTAAAAGATCTATCTCCATACACGGGTGGAGAAAAGAAAGACATCTCTTGTAGGCTTCCAAGAGTATCTGTGTTACTGAAAAATAAGTCCAGGACCTGTTCATTCAAGTCTGAAAGGCTGGGACCTCATCCTCACATGGCCCGTGTCTGGACACTGGAACAAGGAGAGCCAGCCCCAGCCATGCCCTACATCACCCCAACCCTATGGAAGCCCCGTCAATGGGCATGCCGAAATGCTGAGCAGGGAAGAAGGGATGGCTGGATCGCCACTAGATGATAACAACCCTCCACTCCCCACCACAGCCTACAATTTGCATTGGTTCCTCCCTGTACGGGTTGAAACCTCCTCGCCAACAAAAGAAGCACTCGATACTCTAAGCTGGCTCCAAAATGACGCTCTTTGTGGAAAGCAGCAAACTGAAGGGACAGGAAATGTAACTGAAGTCTGAGTTGGCTTTGGAGAATCCTCCCAAGAGTAGCATGGGTGGCCAAAGAAGGAGAGGAATGGGTGGCCATTCACCTCCTGCCCCACCTCAGGGTAGGAGGTGAATATCCTCCATTTTTCCAAGAGAATGAAGATAGGAGATCACAGGTTAATATTGAGTGCTCTCCATTCTTCCCGCAAGTTAATACCTATATTAGGACATCTGGCGGATATTTGCCCTTGGAAGATGCTTCTTTTTTAATAAGGTTCCCTACCTTTTTTGGACGGGTGGGGGAGTGAAAGGGGAAGAGAAGTACTCTGTAAATATAGAGTCCCTGCCTCAGCACAAAACAAACACAGCTACCGACTGGGAGCAGTTTGATATAACCCAGTTCACTAATTATTTATTATATCTTTCCAAATAACGAAGGTTATACTGGACAACAAAAGGAAAAGACAAACACAGTAATATAGAAAATCCAGCTGGTGATCAGTAGAAGACATGTCTGCTCAGCTGTTTCAAAATAAAATGGTATAGTACCAAATTTCCACTGGAGGTAATAATGTTTGGGAGGAAACTTATTCTCTAGCTTTGCAAAATGTACACACGTCCGATTCATTTGCATTAGCTCTACCCGAAGGCTTCAGTAACTTGATTTAATTTACTTTGCTGAACTTGTTCCCACCTTCCATAATTTTGGCATTAGTCTCTGAAAAAACTTTAGGGAGAAACTGGGAAGGAAATACGATTCATTCTTTTAAACAATTATCTTTGGGATACAAAGGTCCTAGTGTTACAAAAGGTGGCATATTAACGTTTA